AGGGAATGATAGGAGGAGTACGAAGGCGATGAGGCTAATCCATTGTTTCTGCCCTTTTGGCAAGGCATGGTACCGCGGACTTTTTACGAGATTTCGCAAGCCCCCCCTGCCGCACCACGCGCACGGGTACGCCAAGAACAGGTCCAGACAAGGGGCCCAACTGGTTTCTCGGGTACATTCCTGGCGCCTCAAGAAGCCCCAAATCAGCCACCTCCAGCTCAAAAAAGGACATGAGTAACGCGTTCCCGAGCACGAATCACGAGACCCTTGAGCAAGTTGTAGGAGCAATCATCCCCGGCATCCAGGCCCAGGGCTACTTTCTCCAGAGGCACAAGGAGGCGGTCATGGAAATCCGATCGGGCACATAAAAGGCTTTCTATGCACCTAGGCACGGCGCTGGCATGGGGGACGGCAGTGCGTGCGAGTTGTTTGTGCGGTCCTTCGTCCGCCCGCTCGAGTCTTGGAACAACGAGCTGAGGGGCCAGGCCGATACTTCGCTTGAGACAGTGCGAGGCGAAGTGCCGTTGCTAGAGGCTACCACCCTGATCTCTTGCCCCGTGTCCTTGTCCCTTGTCGACCTCTCCCTCCGTGACTGCGCCGACGACGCGTCGCAGACGCTCCCCTTGCCCGACTGCAATCCCTTTCGTGCCGCGAGCTTCGCCAAGGCATCCTCAGATCTACTCGCTCGAAAGCTTCTGGAACAAGGGGGTGCGCCCAGAACGCGGACAGGGAAACCGTCCTCCCCGTGTTTGTTGGCCCAGGTGGCTACACTGCGACCAGGGCGGTTCTCTCGGGCCAAGTGCAGTTCCCTGGGATTCCGCAACCTCAAGCTGTGTATTTGGGAGGGGTGGAGCAGTTGACGGGAGGGGCTGGTGCGGAAGTACGAGCAAGCGTGGATGCCACACGTTCAGCCTGGTGCAAGCTCGGTAGGTTTTGGAATCAGCACCTTTCGGCGCGGCTGAAACGCATGGCCTTCCTCGGGGTGGTCCACAGCGCGGCCTGCGCGGGCCTGGAGACGTATATACAGTCGAAAAGGGATTTCGCCGAGCTCGACTCGGTCATCCTGGGGTTCGCCAAGGTCGCTCTCCGTGGGGTCGCTCGCTTCTCGACGATCGATGGCCAGGAAAAAGTTCTGACCCCCCCTGCGTGGAAGCTGCACAAAATGCTTCGCATAGCGGACTCGCGCACAGAGTTGCTGGTGCGCAGGATCCGCTACTGGCAGCAGCTGGCCAAGAGCCCGAGCGACTCTGTACAGGCCGTCGCCGCTCTCTTCGGCAACTTCACGTCGCTGGAGGACGCTCCAGTGTTCGATGATGCTGGCTGGGTCAGAGAAAAGTCCAACCCGTGGGCAGTGCAGCTTCAAAACGACGTGCTCACATTGAGACTCACACCAAGAGGGAACGATTTTTGGGATCGCGGGTACACCATCAAAGACATTTTCTCGGACTACCGTATAGGACTGGCGTTTGCTAACTTGGACCCCCAGGGCCTTCGCAAGGAGTACTGGAACCAGCAGTCGCGTGATCCTCTACGGCCTCCTCGAGCCCCCGTGGACCCTGGCATGCCTGAGCCTCCAGAGCCTCCGCTTCATGAGTACGTTTGTGAACTTCCAGTGGGAAATGGGGAACCTTGTAACAGCGTCTTTACCTCCCGAGCGGCCCTGAGAGCTCACCAATGTCACCATCCCGAACATCGCTGTCGCGTTCCCCTTTATCAGTTAGTTGTGACAAACCAGTGCTTTTATTGTTCCTCGTCCTTCTCATCCGTGGTCCTTGCGAAGAGGCACATTATGCAGTCCCTCAAGCTCAAGAGGTGCCTAGCGGACTACAGCCCCTTCGCTCCCGCTGTGCTGAGCCCAGGGACCCTCTTCTGCCCCGTGTGTGTGGACCTCGAGAGTGCCCATCCGATCCATCGTGAGATGCTCATCCGTACTGGAGTTGATCAGGCTCAAGGCGAGTTTCACACGTTGTACGACCTGCAGGAGCACATCCGCATTGCTCACGCCCCCCCAGCACCCGACATTTGCTTCGATGTCCGCGCTCGCGGAGAGAGCGCTGGGCATTGGGGCAGAACAGCGGCAGCAAGAGCTACGAGGAGGGGGCGCCCGCGGAGGGGATCGGACCCGCAGCAACGAGCGAGGCGCCCCTCGTCGCGGACGCCGAGGCCCAGAGGTGCCCGCTCCTGCGCGCCAGCAAGGCGTACCACCACCAGCAGGCGGCGCACGGCAGCCGAACTCAGCGTGGGACGCCACCGACACCCACTTCGGGCTCGCCCAGCGCGACGTCGACCAGCTGACGAGGATGCCCCTCGACTGGGTGCAGGCGACGGTGCCGGTGTTGGCTCGCGTGGCCCGGCGCCACGAGGCAGCCATCAACCACCTGGAGGCGGTGACCTACAGGCACGTGCAGATGCCAGCAAAGCACGACGTGATCCAGGCGATGCAGGTGACAGCCAAGTTCTACGGCAACGAGGCGGCCCGTCTTCGCAAGGATCACAAGGAGGCGATCCAGGCTGGGCAAGACGTCCCAGAGCTGACGCAGCTCGGCATCCCGCACCCACACGTCTGGGTCGCTTTGATCGGGGCGCTAGTGGGTCAGGGAGAAAGAGTAGGGCAGGCCAATCTACAGAAAATCACAGAGTACCGAGACCAGCTTCACCACGAGCGCCGAAGCAACGAGACGCTCGCTCAGGAGGTGAAGCATTGCAGGCTGCAGACGACGTTCGCAGGGGACAAAGTGAAGTTATACCTAGCGGTTTCGAACACGGACTTGGAGCAGACGGTCGTCAACGCCCTAGTACAATTGGGAGGAGTCCACAAGCACGGGACCCCTCCGCGGTCCCACAGCGCCAGGCTGCTCCAGCTCCACCTGGATGGCCTGGACGATTGAGCGCTGGAGCCGTGGCCAGGGATGCAGATGGACGAAGCAGTATGGGTGAGACCCCGATTGCTACCAGCTCGAGTCGGATTGGGACCTCATCGACGTTAGTGGGGCCACACAGCTCACAGAGGTACTCCCCCCGCAGCTCGATGAGGCCACGAGGAAGTTCGAGACAGGCCAGTTTATCTTCACTGGCGTCAGGGAGGATCCAGAGGCTATCGCCCAGAACTGAGACCGACCCCACTGAGCCCTCAGTGAGCCAATCAGCGCCTGCCGCGGCGGGCAGCCGTGTCCCCCCCTCCTCCTCGTCTGAAGCCTCTCTCCCCCTCCGCAGCATCTTAGACATTCGTTTTTTGTTTTTGTGCCTCTTGTCTTGGGGCGGGTTCTCTCGGACCTCAGCTGGGGATACGCCCCTGGCCTCGCGGCGCCTGGGGGGAATCTCTTCCAGGGCCCTCTTGGTCCAAACGTCCCTACGGACACCTAGTGCCCCTCCCTGCGACTTTGAACAGGGGGGGCTTAACCTCAGGCGGCTTCCTCTCTGCCCGCTTGCGTTCTGCCGCGCCCCGTCCGCTGCTCCCTTGCTTCGCTGGCTCCTCGCTTGCCCCTCCTTGCGTGCTGGCTTGGCTTGCTGGCTGGTTCCCCTCCTCCCCTGTCCCCCCCTCTCCTGCGCTGCCTGGGGTTATTGTGGTTTCGTCTTTAAGTTTTTTGTGTCCCCCGCCCCCGTGGGCCCTGCGCCCTACGGCCCAACCCTGCCTTCAAAGCGTGGGTGCCAGCCGTGGTAGGGGGGCGGGTGGGAGCCCCGTGCCACTCGGCCACGCGTGGTCCTTTTCCTTTCGAGGTTAGAACCACGGCGCCCGCTAGAAGGGAGGTTGACGACGTAATGGTCGGCCAGTCCCCGTGCCTTCTGCCCGTGGCCGATTTCGAGGATGCCGTCGACACCCCTCTGATGCGCCTGCCGCCGCCGCCTCCTCCTCCTCCTCCTCCTCCTCCTCCTCCTCCTCCTCCCCTTATCCCTGCATCAGCCCTTCTAGTGTTACTGTTTCGGCACACCCTTTTAGCGGCCCCCTAGGGAGCGCTACCGAAGACCTCAGTGGGCGAGTCCACATGTGGCTCCCCGCCCAATGTCGGCCCACCCCTCACACGTTCGTTGCCCGTTAGGGTACGCCACCAAAGGCCCAATAGGGTCCACATGCGGCTCCACGCTTATGTCGGCACGCCCCTCATACGTTTCGTGGCCCCAGGGGAGCGCCACCAAAGGCCCCATTGGGAGGGTCCACATGCGGCTCCCCGCCTACGTAGGCGCACCACTCACACTTTTCGCGGCCCCATAGGGAGCTGCGCCGAAGGCCATAGTAGGAGGGTCCACATGCGGCTCCCAGCTCATGTCGGCACAGCTCTCACACGTTCCATGGCTCCATAGGGAGCTCCACCGAAGGTCCTGTGGGAGGGTCCACATGCGGCTGCCCGCTTATGTTGGCACACCCCTCACACGTTTCGTGGCCCCACACGGAGCTGTATTCAAGGCCCCGGTGGGAGGGTCCACATGCGACTCCCCGCTCATTTCAGCGCAACCCTAGCACGTCGTGGCTCCACAAGGGGGCTCCACCGAAGGCCCAGTCGTCCCATCAAGAGATCCAACGCTTTCTCTTCCCCCTTCCCTTTCCCCCCTTGTCCTTGCGCAGGCTCCCCAAGGGCGATCCGCCAGAAGCGTCACGCCTGCTTCCCCCTGCTCCTCCTCCCTGGCTCCCCTTGCCCCTGCTCCCGGCGTGCTTTTTCCCTCCCTGCCCCTTCCAGCCTGCCCGCCTGCCTGCCCTTGTCGCGCGGGCCCTGGCCCCTCGCCGGCGCGCTCCTCGTCGCCGGTCCGCTCCTCCCTCCTCCCCTCCTTCCATGTACTCCAGATTTCGTAATACAAGGGAGGGGGTCTGGACCCTCCAAGACGAGCCATTTCAGACCCCCCCTGTGGGAGAACCCTCCAAAACATCGTCCCCAGACCCCCTTAGGCCCTCCAAGATAGCCTGGAAGAGACCCCCCCCGAAATGAGACCCCCCTCCCTTTATTACGAAATCTGGAGTAGCCAGGGCAGTGCAGACTGCTGGGATGAGACCCCGCCACGCCCGACAGGACCAACGGGAGTCTCGTCTCCGTCGGCCACGAGTCGTCCGCCGCGTCCGAGTACAGAGCCATGCGGGTCTCCAGCCGGCGCACCACCCTCCAGGACGGCCACGACGATTCACGCACGCGCGAGCTCTTTGGGTGTTTCGATTTCTCTTCCCACACCCCCGACGGCGTGTTTTTTTCGCACCGTCGACCCCCAGAGGTGTGGATCTCGTCCCCGGGACCGGTTTTCATCCTGAGTCGGTCGTTTTTTGACGGTCCGGAGGCCCGTTAAGGGCACCCAGAGGCCGAAAATAGAGAAACATTTCCCATCGTGTTTTTTTTGTTGTCGCAACGCGAGGGGGTCTGGGTTCCCGTTCTTCCTCCTCCTCCTGTGCGGACCTTGGATGCCAGGCCTAGGGCCCAAGCGTGCCTCTCTGGGAGGTGTGGTCCCTGGGATGTCCGCTCCCCGTCGCTCCTGCTCCGTCAAAGCCCAGAGGACCGATGCTTTTTTTTGGGTGTGTCTTTTTGTTCAGCACAGGGTCCCTGGAAGTCTCGACCCCTCCCCAGAGACCAGATTTTCGTCCTGAGTCGTTTGTTGACGGTCCCGAGGCTCAGCAAGGCCTTGGCAGGCAGGAAAGGACCCTCAACCTCCGCCTGGATGTCTCCAGTGCGTTGGATCTCTGGATCTCTGGGAAGCCCTCCAGGACGATCAGGACGCGGCGCAGGCCGTGGCGGAGTCCGGGCAGTCGCTGCAGCGGAGCCCGAGGGCCAGAACTCGGCACCACCAAAGCACACTCATACGACATGTGTGCGTCGGCCACGCAATGGCGACGCGCTCGTTCGGAAATCCTGCGGTCTGAGCTCTGTGGCGGGCGCTCTTTGGCTATGCCGCCTGGGCAACGATGTACGTAGCACCCCGCAGATGCGGATCAGAGTGAGGGGGCGGTGGGGACGTCGGCAGTTTGCGAGACTCTGGAGAAGCCCGCCGCAGGCGCAAAAGTTTCACAAATCATGCAACGAGCCCGCCGCAGGCGCCGACTTTTTCGTTATCACAATGTGGGTAGGTCGCGGGTGGGTCGCACACGGGTCGCGGGTGGGTCGCGGGGTGGGTCGCGGGGTGGGTCGCGGGGTGGCTCGCAAGTGGCTCGCGGGTGGGTCGCGGGTGGGTCGCGGGTGGGTCGCGGGGTGGGTCGCGGGTAGGTCGCGGGGTGGGTCGCGGGTGGGTCGCGGGGTGGGTCGCGGGTGGGTCGCGGGGTGGGTCGCGGGGTGGGTCGCGGGTGGGTCGCGGGGTGGGTCGCGGGGCGGGTCGCGGGGTGGGTCGCGGGGTGGGTCGCAGGTGGGTCGCGGGTGGGACGACGACAACATACAACAACAGCACCACCAACAACAAACGCAACAACAACAAAAACACCAACAACAGCAACATCAACAACAACACCAACACCAACGCCAACAACAACACCAACACCACCACCAATAACAACAACAACAACAACAACAACAACAACAACAACAACAACAACAACAACAATCATTTTACCCGAACGCGTGGTGTTCTCCCCAGTGCCAGGGTTTTCATACGACACCAGGCAATACCCCCACTTCGTGGGGGGGCATTACAAGCTCTACCAAATATCCAAACGACTCTTCGCGACCACCCAAACCCAGCTTCCCGCCCTATGACGTTGGGACACTTCACTTCGTGGCGTGCGGACGACCGTGGCTACTACACTGGCGTGGGGTACACACCCACAGAACCCAATGGTTTTTGGAGATTTCGGCGTGCGCGCGCGAAGAAAAAACGAATGTGTCCCGCATGGTATTATTTGACAGGGATGATGGCCCTGGCAGGTGCGCAACCGTTGTCGCAGAAGTTCGAAAAAGTTGCTCGCAAAAGCCCGTTTGACAGAAATGTTTAAAAAGTGTTGGGTTTCCTACGAATCCGCAAGAGCGCGCGGGATGAGATTTTGACATTTTTTGTTGAAAAACCATTGGTTTTTTGATGTTTTTATGTTAAAATCGCTCCGAACACTAAGCTTTTGGAAGGATTTCGTCTTGCGCGCGCGAATGTCCACTTTACCTTATTTTTTACAAGGGATTCTTGAAATTTGATAATATTTGAACAAGAAATTTCATTTTATAGTGTTTTTTGCAAGGGAAAGCGGGGGGGAACAAAACAACCGGATCTTGATCACCTCGAATTACCTGAGGCTTCCTCACGAAAATGATGAAAACGTGGCTGCGGCCTAGGCGCGGCGGGGGGGGCGCGCACCAGGGGGCCCAACAGTAATTATTCTTTAGAATTAATAATGTTCAACAACCACAACCACAACAACAAGAACACCAACGACAACAACAACGACAACGACAACGACAACGACACCATCAACAACACCAGCAACAATAACAACACCAGCAACACCAACAACAGCAACAATCATTTTACCCTCATGCGCGATGTTTCCACACGAAGCATGCGACCATCATGGTAACCATCCACATCATGGGGGACTCTTTGCTCCATTGCGGGGTCCGTCATTCCCATTCCCAGATCTCCCGCCCAATGAGGTCTTGCAAACACCGCCTCCGAGGAATTTCAACATATCCCGCCTCGAAAACGCATGCCCGCGCCTTGCTGCGCCGACGCGAGACCGCCAGTGGACCCCCAGCGAAGGGTAAAACACAAGGAAGTATCGAACGACAGGACTGTCTTGGTGGGGATGGGGGCTGTCGGCGGTGAGGCAAGGACCTGGCCCTGAATAGAAAGTGAGGAAGTCTCGAGCAGGGCTGCTGTTGTTGCTTGGAGCGGCGCCAATGCTAAAGAGAGTAGGGCGCTGGTCCAGCGTAGATCACAACGAAGTCTCGATCGGGAGCGCTGGTTTTGTTGGGACGGCGACTTTCGGCGGCGAGGAGGAACACCGCCTTGAGTATGAAAGGAGGACGCATCGAGCGGGAGCCGTGGTTTTGTCGGGACGGGGGCTGTCGGCGGCGAGGGACCAGCACCGTCCCGAGGAAAAAGAAAGGAAATCTCGAGCGGGAGCGTTGTTCTTGCTGGGAGCGGCGCCAATTCAAAAGAGAGTTGGGCGCCAGTCTTGCGTAAAACGGAAGGAAGTCTCGGGCGGGAGCGCTTGCTTTGCCGGGGCGGCTGTTTTCGGCGGCGAGGAGTAACACCGCTTTGAGTAAGAAAGGAAGAAGCATCGAGCGGGAGCCGTGGTTTTGTCGGGGCGGGGGTTGTCGGCGGCGAGGAACAGCAACGTCTTCAGGAAAAAGGGAGGAAGCCTCGAGCGGGAGCGTTGTTCTTGCTGGGAGCGGCGCCAATTCAAAAGAGAGTTGGGCGCCAGTCTTGCGTGAAACGGAAGGAAGTTTCGGGCGGGAGCGCTGGTTTTGTCAGGGCGGCGGTTGTCGGCGGCGAGGAGGAACACCGCCTTGAGTTAAAATGGGAGGAATCCTCGAGCGGGAGCGTTGTCTTTGCTGGGGGCGGCGCCGATGAGAGCAAGACTAGCGCGCCAGTCCAAGGTAAAACGGGAGAAAGTGTCGAGCGGGAGCGCTGGTTTTGTTCGGACGGTGGCTCTCGGCGGCGGGCAAGAACACCACCCCTGAGTAAAATAGGAGGAAGTCTCGAGCGGGAGCGTTGTTGTTGTTGGGGGGCCGGTTTTGGCGGTTCCCCAAACCGCTCGAGCGTGAGCCTCGTTTTCGATGAACATGTAGCCGGCGCCTCGGCGAGAGCGCCAGGGCGCCTTTAAGGGGTCCAACCATATTATTTGTTCATCCAACAACAACAACAACATCAGCAACAACACCAACAACAACGACACCAACAACAACGACAACAACAGCAACAACAACAGCAGCAACGACAACAGCAACATCAACAATCATTTTAAGACTGTTCGCTCCTATCTGCTCGAGTGGCATTCAGCGTGCATTTCCCGAACCCTCGATACCCGCCCTCTTCGTGTTCGATCATCACAATTTCAATGGGTATATCATTCTTCGTGAAATCTGCGTGATTCGCCAGGAAGTTTCCAGCGAGAGAGCGATTCCTAAGTACATTGGAGGAAGTCCCCAGCGAACGCGCGATTCCTGAATGGCAAGAGCGTGGCGCCTGAGTAAATTGCGAGGAAGTCTCAGGCGGGAGCGCGATTTTTGAGTAAATTGCGAGGAAGTCTCAAGCGAGAGCAGGGGACCAGAGTAAATTTGAGGAAGTATCAAACGGGAGCCGTTGTTGTTGTAAACCGGGGGCCAGGGGCACAGTTTGGGGAGGAATATTTTCCCTGATAAAAAACAGGGTGCGAGCGCCGGGAGGGGCACTTCAATTGAAAAGTACAATGTGCACCGGAGGGGGAGGATCAACAATAATTATATCCTTCAGCAATGAGAGTTCAACAACAACAGCAACAACCAACAACAACACCACAACCACCAACAACAAGACCACCACCAAGAACGCAACAAGCATAATCCTCACCACGGATTTCCACTTCAGCCACGCACCCAGGGACAATGACCGTTTGGCCCCTCACTCTGATTGTAAGATGTTTGTGCTATATGTTCGCTGCGGCTTGTGATGTTCCAACTTACTTTAGCCTTGATCACCGGGAAAAAATCGAGCACCAGGAAAGTATTGAAAAAGGAGGGTTTTCACGTGCCAGGCTCTGGGAGGCGGTACTCGTTCGACACCGTCTCGGCACTGCTCGGGGTGCTCGAGATTATTTCTGCGACTTGGTCTTTAAGTCAGAGACCCGAATCATCAGGGGTAACTCGGGTCAGGGCTAACTCGGGTTCGTTTTTCGGGAATCCGAACCCGAGTTGCCCCGGGCCCGAGTTACCCCGGATAACTCGGGCGTCCAGAGCCCCAAATCATCAGGGGTAACTCGGGTCAGGGCTAACTCGGGTTCGTTGTTCGGGAATCCGAACCCGAGTTGCCCCGGGCCCGAGTTACCCCGGATAACTCGGGCGCCCAGAGCCCCAAATCATCAGGGGCAACTCGGGTCAGGGCCAAAGTCGGGTTCGTTTTTCGGGAATCCAAACCCGAGTTGCCCCGGGCCCGAGTTACCCCGGATAACTCGGGCGCCCAATTAAGTACGATGGGAGCAACAGAAGCTTCGGGCACGGCATGGCACGCTGCCGAGTGCCACCGCCCGCGCCTTCGACGGGCCCAGCGCCCCTGGGCGCGCGGGCCTCGACCGATGGATCCGGGAAGGGGCTGCTCTCCTCCTCCTCCCCCTCCTCCTCCTCCTCCTCCTCCTCCTCCTCCTCCCTCCTCCTCCTCCCCTCCTCCTCCTCCTCCTCCTCCTCCTCCTCCTCCTCCTCCTCCTCCTCCCCCTCCCCCTCCTCCTCCTCCTCCTCCTCCTCCTCCTCCTCCTCCTCCTCCTCCTCCTCCTCCTTCGGCTTGGGCGCCCTCCTGGAGTACAGGTTCGGGCCGCGCAGGCGCAGGCACCGTTCCTGCCCGCGGGGCGGGCCCAGCCCGGCGCCGCGAGATGTCGGCCGGCGCGGCCTCGGAGCTGGGAGTGCGGGGGGGCTGCCGGGCACACCGCTGTCAGCATCTCGTGGCGCCAACATCGCAGCGCGGATTGCGGTCGGGAAACGAAATGGTGGGCCCGGAGTGTCCCGGAGAAGTTTGCTCCGAACTTCGAGGTGAGTTTCGTGCGGATTTTTCCAGGCCAGGAAGGAAAACTGAACAAACATCCACGCGACATTCACGTCGTTTTTCGCTCGCCATGTCGGGGGGGTGCTATGAGAGAAATCCACGCAGAAATCCGCTGAAGCACGTCTGCAAGGCCGGTGCAATGAACCACCTGGTGGGCGCCCTGTGGCAGAGAGGCAGGCGTGCGCCGCCAAGGAGGACGCACAGTACGGGTATATCCGCTCAGATAGGAAAGAAACGAAGCTTTCCGCTCGTCTTGGACTGAACGTCTGTCGGAGAGCAGCGCGCATGAGCGCTCCACGGCGCCGAGTGGCGCCTCGGAGCGCCCAGTAGCACCGAGTAGCGCTCGAATAGCGCCCAGTAGCGACCCCGATAGCGCCCAATCGCGCCATGTGAGGGGGATGTATTGCAGTCGAGACCGATGCTAAGGACGGGCAACCTCCCCAAGGGTACCCTTGCATCCTGGCCTCTTCGGTCCATCCCAAAACCCTTCTGATGGCCAGCCCCGCTCGATAAGCTTCGACGGTGGCTTCCAAAGGGACGTGCATGCTTATCTTCTAGGCGGGGATTTATACATAACCACCGCCTGGAAGATCGATATTCGCGGACGTCCACACACGGTGGATATGAATATATTTTGGCCCCTGGGGGCCCAAATGTATTCATATCCACCGCCCGCTGGGTCTGCAGGACGTCGGCTCCCCGGCGGTGGATAGGGACAAGATCACCGCCTCGCATGATCGTGCATCCTTGCTGTCAGCTTTGACTGCATGTCCACTTGGCGTGCGATCGTTGGTCACGCGCAGAGGGGGGGCAGGGTAAGGCTTCTTCCCAGACATGAGACGTCTTGATTTTTTCAGGACGGCGTCCCCGGAAGTCCCGATCCGTTCCCCGGGCCGTTCTTTGACGGTCCCGAGGCCCGGCGAGGGCCCCCTGTGGCCGAGAGTAGCCAAAAACCTCCCGCCCTGCTTTCTTTCTGCGACGCGAGCATGCCTGTGTTAGAAGCATCCCTGCTTCCTGGAAGCATCCCCCTGCGCGCCGCCGAGCTTGGCCGCGCTGCGGGGCGCTGTGCGCCCCGAGGCCGGCGCGGCGCCGGCAGGCCGGCGCCGCGCGCTCGCAGCCCGGCAGCCGCTGCAGGCGGCCTCCCGGCGGCTCGGGGCCGCGACGCCGCCGGGAGTCCGCGATTCGATTCGGCGTCGGGCTGGGGCGTCGGGCCGGGCGTCGGGCTGGGCGTCGGGCTGGGCGTCGGGCTGGGCGTCGGGCTGGGCGTCGGGCTGGGGCGTCGGCTTGGGCGTCGTCGGGCTGGGCGTCGGCAACGGCGTCGGGTTGGGCGTCGTCGGGCTTGGCGTCGGGCCAGGCGTCGGGTACGATCGGAAGGCGCAGGGAAAGAGTGAGGCGCTCCAGAAAGGGCCTCGCCTTCCCAGAACCCCTCGCGACGTGAAGAAAAACACGGCGGGAGCCTTTTCGCTGTTTTCGGGCTCCGGGGGGCCCTCGCTGGGCCTCGGGACCGTGAACAAAACGACTCGGGATGAAACGCCGGTCCCGAAAAAGGGGTTCCTGACCTGTGGGGGTCGGCGTTGTGAAAAAATCACGGGGTTCGAGGATCGAAGGAGTTTCCATGTCTTCCTCGGCGGAAGGCGGCGGAAGGTGGCGGAAATGAAGAATACGCACCGGAGAGACGCCGATTTTTGGGATTCAGAGTTTCCAGAATCCGCCAAATAGGTACGGAAAGAAGGGGCACAAAGACCGACAGCAGTTCCTGTCCATCTTGAACAGGATTCGCTGCCGGTGCCGCCGCAGACGTTGTCAACTGAAGACAAAAACGCCACCTGCCCAACATCGAACGCTGTCGATTTTGGACAACGTTTGTCGCCGCGCCGTTTGTTCCGACGCGCGGCCGTACGTCTTGGGGAGGGCGCCGCGGCCACCAGGGCAAACACCGCCTCGGGCGCAGGGTTTGCCGTGGGGTTTGCCGCGGTGCCGCCTTCGTCTACCTGGGGCGCGGGGAGCGGGGCTTGCCGTAGGTTTGCCGTGATGTTGGCGTCGTCCAGTTGGGCGTGTCGAGAACAAGCGGCGCGGCGATGTTTGCTGTTGGCGTGCAAACGCCCCCGGCGCCGCCAGAGGGGCCCGACGAGCTCAAGGCTGAGCGGCCCGCGGTGTCTCTGAGTCCAGCGCCCGCGCCAGCGCGGCACGAGCGCGGCCGCGCACAGCCACAAGCTTTGTCGGGGGTCCGCGCGCACGTGTCTCGGGTCGGCACTCTATTTCTCCCTCCCCACACCCCTTGGCGGTGCCAGGGGGGCCCCTGGTCTCAGACCCCGGCGGGCCACGGACAAATTCACGGCGGAGGGGTTTCGCTAGATTCGGCCTCCTGGGGCCCTTAACGGGCTTCGGGACCGCTTGAAAACGACTCGGGATGAAAAACTGGTCCTGGGGAAGGGGTCGAGACCTGAGGGTGTCGACGTTGCGAAAATTATTCTGGCGAAGGACCCAACCATATGCAGTTGTGAGTACTGCAATTGTGAATATCTTCTTCGGTGGCGCCCCCTATGGGGCCACGAACCGTATGAAGGTGTGCCGAATTGTGTGGCGTAGCCTCTGCAGGGGGCTTCCCTGGGAACCCCGACGGCAGCGCCCGCGCGCTGCGACGCCCGTGTCGGCACGCCCCACACGAGGATCGCGCCCGCTTCCTCCCCTCCTTTTTCCTTTTCCTTTGCCCGCGCACTCCAACGTCCAAGGCTGCGGGCGCAGCGCAAGGCGGAACCCTCGCGACGCGCGCAGGTCGCCCCGAAGGGGTCGCAGTGACGCGCACGGTTCGTACGCTGTGTGGAACAGAGATTGCTTGCTGGCTAACTGATAGCGCGCATGGCTCTGGCCGCCGGGGCGGAGCGACGACGGGCGAGCGAGGCGCTGGACAGAGCGCAGCGCGGAGTTCGCGCGACGCGCGCTGATCGCCCCGAGAGGGCCCCAGCGACGCGCGCAGGGCGTCCTCGGCGCGAGGCCAAACAGTTGGACAGCCGAGAGAAGGCGCGGCTGTGGCGGGCCGCTCCTCAGGTCAGGCCTCGCGGATCAATTCGGGGCCACGGAACGTGTGAGAGGTGTGCCGACATGGGTGTGCGGGACGCACGCGGGCACACCCACTGGAACCTTCGGTGGAGCTCCCTATGGGGCCACGAAGCGTTTGAGGGGTGTGCCGAAATGGGTGTGCGGGACGCATGCGGGCACACCCACTGGGACCTTCCGTGGATCTCCGTATGGGGCCGCGAAACGTGTGAGGAGTGTGCCGAATTGGGTGTGCGGGACGCAAACGGGCACATCCACTGGGACCGTCGGTGGAGCTCCCTATGGGGCCACGAAGCGTGTGAGGGGTGCCTACATGGGTGTGCGGGACGCATGCGGGCACACCCGCTGGGACCTTCGGTGGGGCTCCCTATGGGGCCACGAAGCGTGTGAGGGGTGTGCCGAAATGTGTGTGCGGGACGCATGCGGGCACACCCGCTGGGCCCTTCGGCGGAGCTCCCTATGGGGCCACGAAGCGTGTGAGGGGTGTGCCGAAATGGGTGTGCGGGACGTATGCGGGCACATCCACTGGGACCTTCAGTGAAGCTCCCTATGAGGCCACGAAGCGTGTGAAGGGTGTGCCGAAATGGTGCCGGAATGGGTGTGCGGGACGCGTGCGGGCACACCCACTGGGACCTTCGGTGGGGCTCCCTATGGGGCCACGAAGCGTGTGAGGGGTGTGCCGACATGGGTGTGCGGGACGCATGCGGGCACACCCACTGGGACCTTCGGCGGAGCTTTCTACTGGGCCACGAAACGTGTGAGACGTGTGCCGAAATGGGTGTGCGGGACGCATGCGGGCACACCCACTGGGACCTTCGGTGGAGCCCCCTTTATGGGGCCACGAAACGTGTGGAGCCTGTGCCGAATGGGTGTGCGGGACGCATGCGGGCACACCACTGGGACTTCGGTGGAGCTCGTATGGGGCCACGGAGCGTGTAGGGGGGTGCCGATATGGGTGTGCGGGACGCATGCGGGCACACCCACTGGATCCTTCGGTGGAGCTCCCTATGGGGCCGCGAAACGTGTGAGGGGTTTGCCGCAATGGGTGTGCGGGACGCATGCGGGCACACCCACTGGGACCTTCGTGGGGCTTCCTGTGGGGCCACGAAACGTGTGGGGGGTGTGCCGAAATGGGTGTGCGGGACGCGTGCGGGCACATCCACTGGGACCTTCGGCGGAGCTCCCTATGGGGCCACGAAGCGTGTACAGGGTGTGCCGAAATGGGTTTGCGGGACACATGATGACGATGATGATGATGATGATGATGATGCTGATGATGATGATGAAGGTGATGGTGGCGATGATGATGCTGATGAT